AAACTGTAAACTACGGACACAACAATAATCCAAAGATAGAAGTAAACATTGGGTAAAATAGTCTGTAACGCTCATAGTAATGGGACCATGCCACCCTGCTAGAAAGAAAGTAGAACCATATAAACTATACAACTGTGTACAAATGTTTGATCCAATCGAAACTGGGAGTTTGGCCTCTTCGTATAGTAAGCTATCAAGAGAGTAGCTCCTTAGCAGCTAGATTAAAACATCATTATCAAAAATTGCTGCTGCCTTTCTTATCCTTTCCAGTTGCTTTTTCTTTCCATCATAAGTCGTTCATTCAATAGTATTTCTGTCACACTTGGCGCTCCCACTAAAGTGACGTAAAATATTAACAAAATTAACAAAATTTTAAGACAAGTGGTCACAGGAGATGCACTTCTTATTCCCAGATGGAAACAGTTTTGGTTGATTTGGTTGACGACTTGTGAGTGGATCACATGAAACACATCTTAATACCAGGTGTAAACAGGGCTTCCATGTCGCTCGCTTGGTTTCCGGGATATTTTATATAATTTGCGGGCATCAGGTAGCTGCTTTCAATATGCGGGAGACTTCCAGAAATTGTGAGGCAGGTAGGATGTCTGAGCTGGGCTCTTGTGCTGTTGTCTCAAGAAAATGAAATGGGAAATGGTCTGATGAGAATACTAGGAAAAAAACATTAGATAGAACAAGAGCTTGAACAAGGAGTTGTGTTGCATGTTCTGAAAGAAAGGGCCTGATCTTCCTAATGTTGTATAAAGCAAATCTGCAGGACCGGGCAGTTTTAGCAATGTCCCACATAGCAATTGTCTTCTGGCCCAGCTCTGGGCCAAACAAGGGCCGTAATTCTTTGCTGCATGTGGGCCGAGTGTAACTGCTTGTTTGGCCCAGAGCTGGGCCAGAAGACAATTGCTATGTGGGCCATTAAATTAACTGGCCATGGCCAAAAGGGTATGGCACTTATGTGATTCAGATTATTTGGATCTTGTCAAAGTCAATATTGTCACTGTTTGCACTCCTGAACAAGCTGATGAATGCTCAGCCATTGATATAGACATCATAGAGCTATTGTAATGAATACATGGAAAGTTGGTATCGTCTGAAAAAAAAAAATGCTGCAATGCAAGCAAAACAAATGGAGGATATCAGAAAAGGCTATTCCCTGCTGGATGAAGCTGCTACATCCACATCAAGGAGCAGAGAAGATGCCTCTGGGATATAAAATCAAGGAAGTCATATTAAGTTCTTTACTAAAGCAACACCAAAAATGGTGATGACAGTGCTGGGAAAAGTTTGTGTTATGCACAAGAAGTCTCAAAATGAACCAGGTGTTATACAGCTTGGGGGCCTCTTCTGGAAATTAATTTCAACCTATTCATGACTAGAATGTAACTGCTTCTCATTATGATTGTAGAATTATAGCTGCATAGCTGACTATCAAGGCATTATTTTAGTTTTTCAGAGTGCTGCTTCTGTTGAGGTGCAATACACTCCAGGTTCTTATTTAAAGAGTAGACTGGATAGTTTACAATTTTTTAGGTTGTAAAGGGGAAGTTCAACTCATTTCAAGCATTTGTACAGTCAAAAAGAATAAAAAAGTGTATGCACCCTTTGTAATTTTCTGTATTTCTGCATTGATATTAATTTAAATCACAATTATAGATAAACATAATCTGACATAACTAATAATACACAAACTACTGCACTTTTATTATTTGTTTTATTATTTAATACATTAATCTTTCACAATCAAGGGTGGACAAAGTAAGTGAACCCTGTCATTTCGCAACTTGTAGGTCCTCATTCAGCAGCAAAACCTCCACCAAATATTTTCTGTAGCTGCTCATAAGAATCCCACCCCACAAATTAAGTTTCAGTCTATCAGTATTAAATTGTTTTGGTAGGACAGCTCTCTTTCGTTTATGTCACAGCATATTCACTGGCTAAAAGGTCAGGACTTATTTTCTTTAGTTGATTTACTTGTGTGCTTTGGGTCATTGTCTTGTTGCATCACTTTCTAAAATCATTAACTCCTATAAAATGTTTTGATACTCTTCTGAAATCATTGTTCCTTAAATGACTGAAAAGTGTCCAGGCCTTGAGGCAGTGAAGCAGCGGCAAACCATAATGCTTAATCAACATGCTTCGCAGTTGATAAGAGCTGTTGTTGTTTCTTTTTTCTTTCTTTCTTTCTTTCTTTTTTTCTTTCTTTCTTTCTTTCTTTCTTAAAACAAAGTGTTGTGCCTGTCTGATCATTCATTCATGCATTTTATTTATTTACTTTTTTATTTTATATTTTTTTTCCACTGTTCAACGGTCCACAGAACATTTTCCCATGCACTGTAAAATCGAACAGTGAAATTAATTAAACGAAATAAAAATGAAAGTTCATTGGAATTAATTTAAATAAGTTTTGTAGACTCAATATGTTGTTGTAATAAGCTGAACTTAAAATGATTGAGTTTTCTAGTTCCCAGCATGCTTTGCATCAGACTACAAGGAAAATAAATGTTCAAATTAAGTGCTAATTTGTGTGTTTTTCCACAAGACTAACACTGGGAGACATAAGTGAGTATTTAATGTTGTGTTATGTTAGGATTTACAGAGGTTTCTGTTATGTTGGTTGTGCAGTGTTACCGTTGTGGTGAAGAGTAGAGCCTGAGGGTAGGTTGAGGATGGACAGCAAAAATTTAAGACTTCATACACTGCATGATGTTTGACTATTTACATGCAAGTGTATAGTGAGAGTCTTTGTGATAGCTATATTAGCATGTGCTAATGCCAAGCCATTTTGCCTTTCCTTCATTTACAGAATATGAATTCTTGATATCAACAATTGATTTTCCCCTAGTTAAAATGCTAATTCTTGATATCAGGAATTCACATTTTTACTTTTGTACTTTTAACAAAGTAATTATTGATATCAACAAAGACAGTTGATATCTGAGATTACCCTTGCAACTAGTGAACATAGAATTACTGATATCTTTTAATAATATTTGAACTAGTACAAATACTTTTACAGATATCTAGAAATGCCATTACAGGTAAGTATAGCTATGGTAATGAGTTAATGAATATTAATGAGATCTTGTTTTCCCATAATCCTCTTTTCAGCGTCATTGAAAGTCAAAGATGGAGGACGAATGTTACGGTCCCGGGCGTGGAGCACGTAAGATGAATGAATGAATGAATGAATGAATGAATGAATGAATGAATGAATGAACGAATCAATCAATCAATCAATCAATGAAGTCGCTTTTGTTTGCTTTTTTATTACAGCATATTATCGAAATAGACATTACTATAAAATATAACATAAAACATTTTGAGGATTGAATTTCCATTAAACATCAATGTATTATGTGAGTTAACACTGATCTTAACACAGCTTTACTCTGTTTTCAATGGATTTTAAAGTTATTTTATTAGTAGTAACATGATACACTGTCATGTATGTATGTGTGTGTTTGTGTATATATATATATATATATATATATACATGGGCGACATTTGACTCTCGAATGTCAAGAAAAAAAAGCAAAAAAAAAATAAAAATAAAAAAATATATATTTTAGGGATGTAGCCTATGCATCAAAACAATGCGCTACCATATTGCAGCGCAGTGAAGAATAACTTAAAGAGGTTGCCTGCGTTTACTAAACTGTGAAAAAAAAAAAAAATATATATATATATATATATATATATTTTAGGGATGTAGCCTATGCATCAAAACAATGCGGTACCATATTGCAGCGCAGTGAAGAATAACTTAAAGAGGTTGCCTGCGTTTACTAAACTGTGGAACTTTGACTCTTGCTGCTGATTTGAATGGCGATGCTTCCCGTTTCAAGTGTCAGTAATTGATGGCCTTTCATTTAACCAGAAATTCACGTGTTGCTTTTCTGATCATTCCTGAAACTTTGCAGCATGTATGTGTCCGAAAAATTAAAGTTTAATTTAAATTCTGAATGGATTATAGCCTAGAAAACACACAAAGTGCACTCCCTTTATTATCACTAAAAGAATCACTCATCAAAGTTCATCGCGATCTCACAAAGTTCCGTTATAATCAAGCTCTCTAAACCACACAATAAATATCTTATTTACATCGCGTCTGCACTTAGTTAGTCATGAGATGATTTACGAGCATGCAAAACTCCGGCTCTTTCAGCGGTGAGTGAATTCTGAAAACGCTAACGTTTCTGATTGGCCATTGCGTTGAAGAAATCAACAGATATGTCTTTGATTGGCTACATTGCTCAATGCTGCAAAAACACGTTAGATAGTTTGCCAGATATTTTAATTGCTTTTGCTTTCGTTTGGTGGTATTTAGCACCATCTAGTACCCCTGTACAACCAGGCCTGGGCTGACATCGGGGATTACTTGACTGACGATATGGGGGGCAACATATACAATAAGCAACAGATAGCGTAATATATATATATAAATTAGATTGGGTTCATTACCTAACAGGTGCTCCTCTCCCCAAGGCTGGACGCAGGAGGACTGTTATTGTGCTCTCAGATTCACTCAGTGGAGAGGGGACGACTTCATAGTCAAACGCAGGTGCTGTGAGGGGAAAGAAAGAACAAATAATATCTGATCTGTTTCAGATGTGATTAAGAAATGCCTGAGTGACTTGAGAACTAAGCCAGTGAACTAGTTATTCTTTTCTGCTTGTCCACAAATTATATTGAACGTTTTGTTTTTAAATTGTTCAGCTTACTGACTCAGTCAGTCAGTCAGTGCAACTCTATGATTCGTTTGCTGTCAACAGCTCACTGGAGGGAAATATTATCAGCAAACAAAGACTTAAAATACAGGTTTAGAATGACAAGAGAATGAGTAAATAATGATAGAAGTTTCATTTTTGATCTAATCTTAAAAAAAACAAACAAAAAAAACACCTCAACCACCCAGCAACTGTAATACACAAAAATCTTTCAAATTAGTCTTGGTTTTCCACTGACTTGAATCCCTTGCTCCACAGAGAACAAAAACAGGCCCAGACAGAGTGCGCCACACAAGGGCAATGAAACACACACTCTAAAAAAAAAATGATGCCACAATACGCTTGTTAAGTCGGGACATAAGGAACGCCGTTTCCGGGTCCAAGCCTCCACTCGTTTCAGTTGAGAATACCATGTCGACGGCTGTTTATGAGCACGATTTATTCATATTACACATTTAAGCTAAACTTTTAAAAAACTCACAGTGTAT